AATAGCTTTCCTGCCAACTTGTCCCAGTGTCTGGGAAATCCACAATTAGACATTCATTCCTTTAAATTGTGAGGACTTCATAATTTAGAAGGCATCTTTATTAATAAGTAACTGCCTATGGCAGAAGGAATGCCACAAGCCACTTATCAGCCATGAAATCTTATGGAGAGTGACCGACCATTTCTTCTGTTGGGGCTGAAAGATTTCTGGGGATGCAAGATGTAAAGCAGGACCGTCCCGTTATCATTCAGATCTGCCCAGGATTAAGGTGGTTCCTTGGAGACAAGACTTTTGATGTTAAAACCAGGAAAGTCCTACACAAACCTGGATGAGATGTTCATCTTATAACATGGAGGAGACGGCTGCATGTTAGAAGCATGGACTGGACTACAGTAGGCATTGTTGTGTAGGTGGCTTTAGAAGCCATGCAGCTAAAGGTGCCCCAACTTCAAACATGTGGTTGAGCGGCCGGGGGCGATGGCTCAAACCTGTAATCCAAGAACTTTGGGAGGCTAAGGTGGACAGATCACTTGAGGTCAGGGGTTTGAGACCAGTCTGGCCAACATGATGAAACCCTGTCTCTACTGAAAATACCAAAATTAGCCAGGCGTGATGGCACGCACCTATAATCCCAGCTATTTGGGAGGCTGAGGCAAGAGGATCACTTGAACCTAGGAAGCAGAGGTTTCAGTGGACTGAGATCACACCACTGAATTCCAGCCTGGGTGACAGAGTAAGAGACCATCTCAATTAAAATAAATAAATAAATAAACATGAGGTTGACAGGAAAATTCTTTTTAGAGCCATGTTGTGCCAACTTCAGCAAATGAATGAAGGTAAGCTTTCGCATACAACAAAAACGCAGGAGATTATTAGGACATACAATACATAGCACAAGATCCTTCCATGAAATTTAGTGCAGATAAATGATCAAGAATTATTGTACAAAAAGTTATGCAAATGTCAGTGCATGCATAAGATGGAATATAATGCCTCCATTTAAATTATGGTAACAGAGATTCCTAAAGTCCATTTTTTCTTCAGTATATTATATTTAATTTTCACAATAACTCTCTGACTTTGGATGGATTTTCTTAGTCATAATAATGAAGTTTTCTTTGACTAACAATTATATTTGTCTTTTGGCCTTTTATATATCCTAGCTTAGGGGTCAGTTCAAAGTGCCGCCATGATGGCAACATTGAAGGGGTAGACATATTCATGGAAGGCTCTGAGGGGGCTCAAATGCCCCATTTATATGCCCCACATGTTCTAGCAGGGGTTTTGGGAGATGTGGAGAAGTGCCTATGTAAAGGTGCAGGCAGGACTTTTCTGATACCCATTGGTCTTCCTGTTCTGAGGGGTTCTGCAACACTGATCGCTCTCAAAGGGGACAGTAACAATCCTAGTTGTCCATATGCCTTGCTGTTAAAACCAGGGCCTTAACCAGGAGAGGGACTGGGCGTATGTGGGAGTTGGAGAGTGGCCATATGGCCTCACTAAACCCTACTCTAAACTCAGTGAGGGGCACTCGGATATGCGTCAAGCTTAGAATATGGGGAATGAAAGGCTTCCAGTGGAGTAGGGTGTTGTAGTAGAGACAGAAATAATGAATGGGGGTCCATGATTTCTTTCTCAATGGTGAGTTCTCTCTCCACTGTCTCCCACATCCATTGTAAACCTGGTGCAGGAGAGCTAAGCATAGCAAGGAGAGGGTCCAGGGAAAGGAGACAAAAACACACTGTTTCTTCCTATTTCAAATCTAACCCTTTTCTTGTTTAGAAAAAAAAAAAAAAAGTGCAGCTCACGGCCAGCACTCATTTAATTTTACATAAACATGCTCTTTGAGGCTGAAGCAAATCAGACTGATTTTCAGTATGAAAATAAACCATAAAAACTGTTCTGGGAGTTATTTCTAAACAGAACTAACATCAGAATCATTTGAATCATCAGAATCATCTCTTTCAAAAAAATCAGTTTCTGAAATGAACCTTTGGCCAACAACTGTTCAAGAATGATGTTAACAGCACGCGTAGGAATGCTACGTATTTTAGGATTTGACACTTTTGGTGATTTAGAATTGCTCTACTTTGCAAATGGAAATACCACTGCTAAAACGGAATGCTATTAATAGAACAATGTCTTTTTTTTTTTTCCCAAAGTCGATATACTAGAGTAATGTGAAAATAATAATAAAAGTGAGAAATTTCCTGAAAAAGTTTTCTGCAGTGTTTACAAGTGGTAGGGCAAATGGGAAAAGGACTAAATTCTTCTGTTTGCCTTTTTTCCCCTAAGAATATTTTACATTTCCAGACCTATCTACAATGACTCCCCAAGAGAGCGCATTTGCTTCCACCAACCTGCTTACCTTAGTGTCACCCAAATATGCCATAAAGATCCGCACTTGCAAGGCTGTCCTCACATTCTCCCCGATGCCTAGCCTTTCTCTTTTGACCTATTCTCCCATTCCTGAACACAAAGCCCCACCAGGCCTTCCCTTCAGCCCAGGAATGCATTTTCATTGCTTTATCTAGGTCTTTCTTTTTCACCTGAACCAAAGCTGTTTATTGCTTCAGAGGCTCAGTGAAATTTTGTGACAGGAAGTATTCCTGCAGGGTATATATTGTTCTAAAACTGAGTCAGCTACTTGGGGGAGGGGGGACACTTCCTATACACATGAAGTGGGCTGGGTGCCCAAGGGACTGTGCTTTAATCTCACAGCTAGGTTAAAAAAAAAAAAAAAAAAAAAATTGCTGAACATCATTCATTTCCTATGGTTAAATAAACAGGCCCTCTGCAGTGGTGGTGGTGTGAGGCTTTGAAATACAATGGTTCTTTCAGGGGGCCTGCCTTAAATAACAATCCTGCAGTACCCAGAGTTTACATAGTCCTCAGCTTCTCAGAAGTTCACGTGTCCCTTCATATCAAAACACGCTGTCCTTAGTATATGAACATGACATCCATGACCCATTAGCAATAGGAACTAGAGTAGGCAGTAGGCTTGGAGTTGTTTTGCCAGCAGCAGGGATGAGGCTGCACTCAGTCTTTCAATCTCTTACTGAGGTTTCTTGCAACCAAGGGCAACCATTTTCCAACCAGGGTTAAGCCATGGAAAGGACCAAAGCTAGCCGATCCCCACAAAATTCACTCCCCTGGCCCTGTGCTCTAAACACCTCGACTAATCACCTCAACTAACCAGACATACATGCTTTACTGTCTAAAGGCTTTTATGGTTTTTAATTCCTCACATGACTCCAGGAGTGCAGACAGACTCTGGAGTCTATCTGAGTTCAAATCTTGACTTTTTCCCTCAGTTATTTAACCTTTCTATGTCTGAGATTCTTCATCTATAAAATGAAAATAATAGCACCTACCTCTTACGATGAATTTGAGGATTAAAAGTGATGACATGTGTCAAGTGCCTAGAGCAGTGCCTGGCAGGTATTTAACAACTCACTTAATGTTGGCTCTTACTTTTATTTATTCTTGCCCAAAGAGAATGCCAACAGTGGAAATATCCTGCCTTATGGACTTTGGTTTGCTAACCAAGTGAGTGCCAACTCTTCCCCATCTATATTTATCAGCCTAGATTCCTTGACAACCATGTAAGGCTCACCCAGAGCCCTCACCCTGCCCATCTTGACAACATTGCTCAAGTGCTTTGTGTGTGTGTGTGTGTGTGTGTGTGTGTGTGTGTGTATAGCAGACACTGCCATTGGTGCTGTGAAGAAACACCAAAGAAATTTAATCTCTGTCCTCAATAAGCTTAACATTCATCTGGGGAGATGGGCCAAAAGCAAGGCAACTTTGACTGCAAACAAACCTATCATAGTACACACAGCCTAAACCCACCGGGCCTACACAGATGCAAGCCCAGGCCCAGAATGTTCTTTTAACCCAAAGCTGGGAAAGTTACCACAAAATATCCAGAAGATATCTAAGACATTCCTGGTTTTTAAAAGAAATTTTATTGGTTGGTTTCCTGACAACATGAGAAAAGTTTACCTCCATTAATTACCCAGAATTGTGCTGGGTACTGTGAGAATAGATTATCTATCTGTCTATCTGTCTATCTATCTATCTATCTATCTATCTATCTATCTATCTATCTATCATCTATCTTATTTAAGAAGGGTACTGAGCCCTCGAAGCATTTCCAATCTAGCAGAATCTTTGAAATAACTTTTAGAACAATGCAATAAAAGGACAAACATTATATGACTCCACTTCTATGAGGTACCTCCAATAGTTAAATTCATAAAGACAGAAAGTAGAATAGGTTACCAGCGATTGGGGGAGGAGGCCTGGGTAGTTATTCTTTAATAGGTACAGAGTTTCTGTTTGAAATAATTTTTTTAAAGTTCTGGAAATAGACAGTGGCGGTGGTTGTACAACATGAATGTGTTTAATGCCATTGAATTATACACCTAAAAATAGTTAAATTGGTAAATTTTGTTATGCATATTTTACTACAATCTAAAAAAAAAAATGCACAACTGTCTAAAAAAATCTTCATGTGTTAAATTATGCAGCCCATGCTGACAGTGACTTGTAGCTATAATGAACTCACAATTTAAAAAAAAAAAAAAAACAACTCAAGGAGAGCTGGAGTAACTGAGAAATGTTTTATAGAAAAGGCAAGTTACGGCCAGTGCTGTAATCCCAGCACTCTGAGAGGCTGAGGTGGGAATTCTAGCTGCCTGGGTAGGGTGGGGCCTGATCACAGAGGGACCTGAGCAGCAGGCAGACACTTGAATTGGAAACCTTGGGCACTAGGGGTTCACTGTAGTGTTTTAAAATTTATTACTGCTGATATTCTGATATCTGAGCAACATCTGTATGCTTAATTCTAGAAAGCCAATGAGCCTGGTTTTGATAATATATGATAATTATGTAAGATGCCACCACTGGGGAAATCTGGGTGATGGGTACAAGGGACACCTCTGCATTATTTTTGCAATTTATTATGAGTCTAGAATTATTTCAAAATTTAAAAAGTATGAAATTGCCTCTGATGAAGCCTGTGATGGTAGGGACATCTGAGAGTGATGATGAATGCCAACCGCTCTGATAGTTAAAAAAAAAAAAAAAAAAAGTATGAAACAAATTGTTGAAAGATTAATCTGTTATCTGTGTGCATATTAGTTTGAAAGGAGAAGAAATCGAGGCAGGATGAGAAAAAGTCATTGCAAGTATGTATTTCCTTGCTTAAACACTTAACCAACGTTCATTCAGAAAAGAGAATAGCCCCAAGTAAACCAAACTATCATTCCCATCGTTTAGCTAAGGAGAGGACCTTTAGTTTATTCAATTGTTGAGCCAAATGCTGTGTTGCTGGATGAGAATGTTTGGTTTTGGGAGTTTGGAATTGAAAGTGACTTAACAGGCAGACATCTAGAGGTAGCCAGGCCCTGACCTGTTTATAAAAAGACTGAGCAACTCCATCTGCTCAGCTGTTGGACCAGCTAAAATGATCTTATTCTCTAGGAAAACACAACAGGAATACCTCTCAAGGTCTGTAGCCTACAAAGAGGGTACTGGGTTTGATACAGTCTTCTGCAGCTAGTGAGTAGGCATCTGGCTGAGCAATATGCCCATCCTGAGTGATGGAGACTCAGAAGTTCATCATCCAAGCATCATCTGCTTGCCCAACCAAGCCTATTCAGTATCCACAATCCGCAAAGGAAAAAGCTGAACACTAACAAGTAAATGTCCTCCTGCTTCCCTTCCTTGGGCCTTTTTTTTTTTTTTTCTTTATTTTTTGTTTCTCAGAGAACAGAAGATATTGATTGGGATAAACAGTGCGTGAAGGGACAGGGGTTAGAGGTCAACCTTCCAAGTCATCTGTCATATTAGGTAGCTAGTCCATCTTCCCTGTGCTCCCTCAGGATGATTGGGACCCTTTAATGAGCCACTTGGAGTAAATACCATCAGCTTGCTGCAACTGGGTGCCAGGATATGGGCCAAAAGAGGAGGGGGCAGGGTGTCCAGAAGGAACTGAAAAATACTTTTCCCTGTTTTTGTCTTTCAGTAGCTCTTCTTTAAGTTTATACCCTTCATCCCATTCTGTCTCTTGCTGCAGCATTTTTTTCTCGGGGAACAGGGCTCCCGTTGCCCGTTGAGTTTGTTTTCTGCTTTGGACAGCAGCTGGCTCCCTTAATGCTTCTGAGACAGCTCAATTATCTTGATTGTTGCAGTTCCGGCTGCAGAATTAAACCAGCCGGTCATGAATACACAGAGGATTTATCACTTAATAGCTGAATTGCTTGAGTCATTAAAGAGTAGGAGAGAAACAGCCAATTGATTGTTAATACTGCAGAAATGTAACAAGAAGATGGCTGTTAGCTTCCTGTTGCATCCTTTAAGGGCCCCCTTCGTGAAAGGACGTCTTGTGTTTTGCTTTTCTGACCTTTGGGGTGGGAAGCACAGTTTGCGGAGAGGCAAGGGGCATGGCAGGGTGAAGGGAAAGCAGTTCTGGACTTCAGCAAGCAAGCTGTGTACTTTGGGTTTTTGCATATCCTGTCAGACGAGTGTCTTCCTAAGGTTTATTCCAAAGGTATTTGCATCCCCTCCTTATAATGGTATTTGCATTCAGCTGGGCAGGTAGCTGAGTTCCAATCTTTCCCACTGCTCCTGTGTGGACTCAGTGGGAGGACAGAGTGAGTTTGCCAAGAGGACTCAAAACTTTCATGCTTGCCTTAAAACATCAGTTCCCGGACCGTGCGTGGTGGCTCACGTCTGTAACATCAGCACTTTGGGAGGCCGAGGTGGGCGGATCATGAGGTCTGAAGATCAAGACCATCCTGGCTAACATGGTGAAACCCTGTCTGTACTAAAAAGACGAAAAATTAGTAGGGCGTGGTGGTGGGCGCCCGTAATCCCAGCTGCTCAGAAGGCTGAGGCAGGAGAATTTCTTGAACTTGGGAGGCGAGGTTGCAGTGAGCTGAGATTGCGCCACTGTACTCCAGCCTGGGCGACAGAGTGAGACTCTATCTCACACACACACACAAAAGTCAGTTCCCATCCAGCTGGTGGCTGATGAGAGACCTTGGCCCTGAACTATATCAATGTTCCTGCAAAGGAGAACATTTACTCTAGAGATAATCCATACACCAGGCCAAAAAAAAAAAAATCACCTACTCTCAAACTTTGTGCTGGGGGGCGGGGGTGGAACAAAGCGGCATATGGAAAAGCGGGTCTGTGAGCACCTCCTAGCAGTGTGACTGTGCCCTCCTCTCAGCCTGTGCCTTTTCTTCTCTGTGAGCCAGGTTTGAAAGCATCCTCTTGGAGCAGGAGATGAGTAGGCATCAGAAAAGTCCTGTCTGTACCTTTGTGTAGGTACTTCTTGAAATTTCACCAAAGGAACATGTAAAAGGAGTTCTTGAGCTCCACCCTGCCCCCCGACACACACGGAGTCTTCCATGAATATCTACACCTTGAATGTTGCCATCATGGTTTCATTTTAACTAAAATGACCCCAAAGCCAGGCTATATAAAAGGTCCACACACAATTTAATTCTTCATCTCAAACTATACCCAACTGCCCTGTCCCCCGAAGCTTTCCAGACAAGCTTTCAACAAATCTCACAGATAGTAGCAACAATAGCTAGAGCAGCGCCTTCCCTGCAGAATCAGACAATGGTTGTTCTAGCACAAGAAAAGCCATCTCTGTTTGTCCCCACAGGTTGTTTGTGAAAACTGAAAGCCCCTCCCCTCCTTCCCGGCGTAGCTGTCTGTGTGCTGTTTGGCCCCAGTCAAAGGTGCTTGGATCTCTTTTTGAGCAGCTGCAGCTGGGCCCCGGGGGGAGTCTTCACCGAGAAAGGCCTCGCTTGTCCCCTCTGCACTTCCAACGTTGGGTGAGTCTCCTCCAATAAGTCCGCTGTGGAGAAGTCTTCTTCTTCTTCTTGGTTCCCTCATTAATTTATCTTAGATTATTTGCTGATTAGAAAGTGGTATGTGGTCATGTAGAAATTTGAACCGGTTACACAAAAGGGGCAAGAAGCCGAAAAACCTAGCAGCCACGCGCAATCCCCCTGTCCCGCAGTAACCAATGTTGACACAGTAAGTACGTCTCTCCTGGCCTTTATTGTTCCGTGTTTTCTTAACATGGCTGAGATCCTACCACCTGGAAAAGGTAGCTACCATTTTATTACCTGCTTTTTTTCTCCTTAAGCATTTTATTCAGGAGCATTTTCCATGCCTTTAGGAATCTTTGCTACCATCATTTAAATGGAGGCAGCATATTTCGTCTTATGCATGCACTGAGATTTGTTTTTTAGGACAGATGATATCACAGTGCCATACCTTCCGTGAAATGTAATGCTGAAAGGCGAAATAACAATAAATGACATTGTTAGAGAGAGTCTATGCAAAGTACTCTTCCAAGTCTTACATGTCTTACATGTCTTAACTCATTTAATCCTCACACATCTCTTTGAGGCAGGTTCTGTTAGTATCCCCATGTGAGAGAAGGGGAAAGTAAGAAGAGATGAGTGTCTTGCTCAGAGAAACACAGGTAGTAAGTGGCAACGCTGGGCTTTGAACCCAGGTACTGTGGCTCTAGGGTGTGTGTTCTTAACAACTGCAGGTCGGCCAATATCAGAACTGAATGCAATCACTAAAGCAGCTTACAATCTAATATACAATATACAATAACATTTTCCAGTCAAGAGAAGTGTTTTCAGGATTCAAGACACATTCTTTCATTGGCTTACAATCCAGACTCGTAATACCGTTGATCAGCCATAGACAGCAGACCTTTCCCAACGCTGTTAGAGAGCTAATGGGAGAGGATACACAGAGGAAAAAGGTGATTCTGCATTTCTAAAGTATCACCCTGCATCTGCCAATCAACTTAAAATTTAATTACAAAGAGAAATAATCTCTCAAGACAGTAAGTGTGATATTACTGATTAATAGGGAGAAATTTACCATTTATGCAGTGAAGCACCCTTTCCTCGGGGTAGCCTTTTAAATACCTCTTTCCCCACCAAATATAGACAATTGCACTTCCAGGATCCTGAATGCTTTTTAGTTCCCTTTCTTTTCTCTTCTGTACCTTGAAAATCTTCCCATGTCCCCATCCAGACTGTCTGACATTCACCCATTTCCTTCTCTCTTCCCTGCATTCCCATCACTGAAGTACTGATGTTGGTGTGGGCTTTCACCAAGGTCAAAGCCTCCATCCTCTCTCGTGTGCTTAGCTCCCTACAATGACAGTCAACTTGCCTAGCAAAATTCATCACAGTACATTTCCGGAAGTTTTGATCCTCTGGGTATCTCTCTGAATTTCTCTAACCCTGGTAGAATTTCAGGGTCTGCTCCGTACTGTTCCGCATTTGTTTCTCATCTCCCCTCTTAGGCACCCTTGTGAATTTGTTCAGCTTAGAATACATGTCTCCCAGAAATGGAGCCCCCACAAATGAAATCTGCAAAGGAGCTGTTGCTGAGAAAGGGGCACCAACCTGTGGCCTCACATACCAAGGAAGAACAACAGCCTTTGTTGCTTCCTCACTGTTCTCCAGGTGAATTCTCCCATTTCTCTGCCCCACATTCACCCTTGACCTTTCCATAGGAGACTCGCTCTGAAAAAAAGGTCTGGACTGGATCTGCTGCTGTGAATGATGCCCAAGCTTGTACTGTCAGAGGCCAGGGATGAACCAGAACACTTTTATTATTTCTATTCCTCTTTTTATGTCTTCTTTTCTTCCCTATCTGTTTCCCACTGTTAGCAGCAGGCAATGTCCCCTCCAGAGCTGCAGCTAAGCGTGGGGCACCGTCCTGTGCACTCTGACACAAAGTAAGAGTTGACGTTTTATCTATCTCACCCCTGCTTTTGTGCCCCACATTGGCCCCATAATTAGCAACAGGAGAAGCCGCTGCAAGAATGCTCTGCACCTGAGCTGGGACGGTGAACGATGCCCAAGCCTGTATTCTCAAAGGCCAAGGACTAGCCACAGTCTTTTTGTTTTTATGTCTCCCTTTGTGGTGGCTTTTCTGCTCTCTTTTAATCTCCCCATTGGCTGCCAGAGAGGCCCGCTCAAGAGAGGGCTGAACTGGACTTGCTGCTGGCAGCAGGTT